AAATTAATTATCAACTAAGATACTCTAAATTTAGTTGAAGGACAATCTTATTCACTCAACAATAAATAAATAAAAACATATCTTGTGGTACCTACCTTGCTAATGCACATGACCCCGTCAACGCGTCCATGAAAACTTCAACCCGACTTCCATGATTGGTCTTGTACTGCGTTATCATTAAACTAAGTAACTATAAATGATACATCTAGTTAATTACCATATTGAAATAATCTATAAAATTGGTATTCATAAATTGTGTTCTTTTAAACTCACCCATTTTCCCAATCATGCCATATTATCAAGAAATTTAGGATTTAACGATTAACCAAACTAAAACTTTCAAAAACTGGCCACTTATAGTTTGCATAACAATATCGTTGCATTAATAGTTTAAAAAATCGATGTCAATTTAAGAATTCTACATCACATGTACACATTAAATATACAATATTCGAATCAGTGATATTTGGGTTGCAATACTAAAATTATTCTCCATTTATAAGAGGACATTGATGAAATTTACTATTAAACTCAAATTAAAATAATTAGAATATGAAAATTAAAATATCAAATAACAAAGAAAGTACTTTTGTGAGAGTTAGTGGGCAAGCTAACAATAGTGGAAATGTCATACAATTTGTAGATTTTATGTTTTCAGATTTTGTATTTAAAAAGATACAAAATATTTTTTTTTTTTTTTTTTGCATTACAGGAGGCTAAGAGCCAAAGAAAGAAGATTACAGGGGAGGAGTCGAGAGGTGAGGAGGAGAAGAAGACTCTGCGACCACACGTCGCTCGAAAGTGATGCCCATGTTGTCCTCTTGTAAAATATTCCCTAAGCCTTGAGGCGGGTTTGCAAACTCATGCACACCATAGGGATAGACGAGACTGTGCTTCGAGAGCCAGTCCGCGACTCTATTTCCCTCCCGGTATGTATGAGAAATGCTCACCAGCCAGTCTTGGCTTAGTTTCCTGCGAATTGCTGAGAGCAGAGTGGAGTAGGGATGCACCTGGTCCAGCCGATTATTAATAAGATCAATGGCTAATCTCGAGTCCGATTCAATCTTCAGAGTGCGGCAACCTCTATTCCAAGCAACTTCAAGACCATGGAAGACCGCCCATAACTCCGCAAGAGCAGCAGACGCCGTTCCTATATTGCCCACAAAGCCGGAAATCCAACGCCCTGAGCTATCCCGAATGCATCCTCCTGTACCAGCTGGCCCTGGATTGCCACAAGACGCACCATCAACGTTAAGAGTAAACCAACCTTGAGGTGGGGGCTTCCAGCCAATATTCTGCACAACCCTTGTCGCCGGATTAGCTCTTCTGCAAGGAAAGGTTGACGGAGCATGCCAAGCATCATGCCAAAGCTTTGCTTTGGCAATGATAGAGTGCGCCAGAGAAGGAGGAGAGAGGACAGCACCAAGCCCCTTGAAACAAGCCTCGCATCTACTCTTCCAGAGACACCAGATAGCGACACTAAAGAAAGCAGCCCATTGCACTCCTGAAGGACCAGCTTCTGAGTTGCTGAGGTTCTCTCGCAGCCAAGCACCCTGTTCAGCACTGAAGAAAGCATGTTGCTTTGCAGTAGGGACCTGTCTGCTCCAAAAGAAAAGAGCCGGAGGGCAGTCACGAAGCACATGAAGGATGCTCTCAGGCTGCCCCTGACAGCGCACACAATCTGGGTTGGAAGCTGATTTCCTGCAAAAACGGAGCTGGTTAGTTGCAATCCGTCCAAGGCACGTCAGCCAGAGAAAACTCCTAACGCGTTCCGGGACCGGTAAGCTCCAAATAATCTTCCAGTACTTCTCGTCTGGGTCTGCAGCATGCTGGTTAAGAAGACTGTATGCCGTCTTGGCAGAAAATCTTCCATCAGAGGCCGCACTCCAAAAGATAGTATCATTCTCTGTCGAGATAGTATCCACCGCTGTGCTAAGGATTTTCATCTGCACCTCCTGGGGAAGAAGATCAGAGAACAGTTCGGTTCGCCAGGCCCCCTCCTGAGTCACAAAATCAGCAACCACGGCATCCTCCATCCCTTCTGGAAGTTGACCAACCGCTACATCTTTGAGAGGTACCTGCAGAATCCAAACATCCGACCAGAATTTAGTGCGTCTACCATTCTTAATGTTCCAAGCACAACCCTTCTGAAGTAGATTAGCAGCCTTAGAGATGCTATTCCAGGTGAAGGAACTTCCCTGGATTGGCCGGATGATGCCCAGGTCCGTTTGATTGCGGCTGTATTTATCACGAAGGACTTTGCACCACAAGCTGTCAGTTTCCTTCAGAAGTCTCCAACCTCCTTTGGCGAGCATCGCCAGGTTCGCCTGCCTGAGGGATCTCAGCCCAGCTCCACCTTGCTTCCTCGGAAGAATCATCTTCTCCCAAGCAACCAGGTGCATCTTGGATTTGTTCTCCTCTTCACCCCAGATGAAATCCCTGTTCAACTTATCGATGCTTTTGCACACACCAATAGGGATTAGCTCAGTATTCATATTATAGGTAGGAAGAGAAGAGGTTACCGACCGAGCAACCGTGAGTCTTGCCGCCAAGGATAGCCGGCGAGCTTTCCAAGGGGCAAGCTTTTTCTGGATCCTCAGGAGAAGCCCTTGATATCTCCCTTTGGTGACCCGACCCTGGATGGTCTCAATTCCCAAATACTTCCCCAAATCCTGCTTAAGAGGAATGCCCGCCTTTCTGCTCAAGAGATTAGCTTTACTCCGATCAACATTGGGGGAGATGTACATGGTTGACTTGTTGTAGTTGACCCGCTGCCCAGAGCTAGAGCAGAAGTCCCCCAAGCATTCCTGAATCACCTTGATCTGGCGTGACTCAGCTTCTGCAAAAAGAAGTAGATCATCCGCAAAAAAAAGGTGAGTCAGAGGTGGGCCGTCCTTAGTGAGGCGAATGGCTTTCCATTGCTTACTAAGTACTGCCTCATCAATCCTGTGAGAAAGACGCTCCATACAAAGAACAAAAAGATAAGGGGAAAGAGGATCTCCCTGTCGGACGCCACGGGAAGGAGTGATTGGTTGAGAGAGCTTCCCATTCCATAGGATCCTCATCCGATTCTGTTCGACACAATGCATGATACAACTTATCCAGGAACTAGGGAGACCGACCTCTTTCAAGGTATCTCTCAGGAACTCCCATCTAAGCATATCATAAGCCTTCTCCAAATCAATCTTGAAAACCATCCCGCCTTTCCTTCCCCTTCTTTTATTCAAAGTATGGAGCACTTCCTGTACTATGATAATATTATCTGAAGTCTGGCGTCCCGGGATGAAACTGCTTTGCCTGGGTGAGACTAGCTTCCTCATGATTGGTTTCAGACGGCTCGTCATCGCTTTAGTGATAGCCTTCAGGCTTACATTATTCAGCGAAATCGGCCTCAACTGGGTAACCAATTCTGGACTGTCAACCTTAGGAATGAGCACCACCGTAGAATCTGAGACCACTGCTGGGAGGTTCCCTGTCGAGAAGAACTGGGTCGCCATATCCGCCAGAGCCCTGCCAGTCGTGCTCCAAGAGTGTTGGTAGAAAGCTGCTTGGAAGCCATCCGGACCCGGAGCCTGAAAAGGTTTCATATCAAAAATTGCCTTATGAATGTCAAGCATAGTAAAAGGGCGCAGCAAGAGCATCATCTCAGATTGATTAAGCCTAGGAAAGGCTTGCTTGGGAAGCTTGTCCTCATACGTCGAATCATCCTGCAGATAGAGGTTAGCAAAATAATCAAAAACAAGAGAGGCAAGAGTATCCGGATCATCAATCCAAGCCCCATTCGCATCTCTTAAGGCCCCAATTTTGTTGCGCCGTCTCCTGATATTGACTTGTTGGTGAAAGTAGGCTGTATTCCGCTCTCCAAACTGAACCCATCTCTCTCTAGCACGTTGGAACCAAATTAGCTCCTCCTGTTCCAAAACTCTATCCAACTCTTCCGCAAGCTTGGAATGAAGCTTGGCTAAGCCTGGGTTGAAAGAATTAGCCAAGCGAACCTCAACTCCTCGAATCCGAGCGAAAAGCCTGCGCTTCCTCTGCTGGATATTACCGAAGACATTGTGGTTCCAATCCTTAAGCTTAGAGGCAAGATCCTCCAAGGCTTCCGGGAAGTTGGCGGTTTCATCCCAAGCTCCTGCAATAAAATCCAAAAAGTTGGTGTGAGTAAACCAGGCTGCTTCGCACCTAAAAGATCGAGAGTCAGAGGGAGAGTGCCCCTGAGAAGCAAAAGAAGTTAGGATGGGATTATGGTCCGAGTGAAGCCGGGGAAGATGGCGAACAGCAGTGTTGGGGAAAGCAACATTCCACACCGGGTTGCAGAAACTTCTGTCAATTCTGCTCGCCTTGTAGGAGCTGCTTTGATCCCCCCTAGTCCAGGTAAACCGAGGTCCCGAAAACCCCAGGTCAATCAGATCCGCCAGGTTGATCCGGTCGTTGAAGAGGCGACATCTTCTCAAAGTAGAGGCCGACGGGACACCACTCTTCTCTTCCGGACTTCGGATCGCATTAAAATCACCCGTGAGCAGCCATGGCATATCAATTATCTTGCTTTGCTCGACCAAACTATTCCAAAGACTATGCTGCAGGTTCGGATGAGGAGAGGCATAAACTGCAGTAAGCATCCAGGGAGCTCCATTCCCCTGAGAGATGCGGAGGGACAGATGTTGATCACAGGCTGAGACCAGAGTCACAGAGAAAATCTTGTTATCCCAAAAGACCCAGATGCCTCCTTTCTTTCCATCTGCTTCCACTCTCACCACGTTAGAGTAGCCCAGACGATCACAAAGATTATTCGCAGTATTCCCACTAATTTGGGGTTCTAAAAGAATCACGAAATCCGGACGATGGGTTTCGAGAACCATTTTCAGAGACCGCGCAAAAGCTCGACTCCCTGCCCCACCTACATTCCAAGAGAGAACTTTGATAGAAACTGTATTTGACATAGACATAAGATTAAAGGGGAAGAAAAGAAAGGAAGGGATCAAGAGGAACGAGCTCACCAATTAGGTGGGAGGGGGAGCTGCTTGGTTCTCCGAAACAGTAGCCCCCAGAGCGGTTGCGCCCGGCAGAGCTACTTTCTTCAAATCCATCGATGCTGCTTCTTTCCCCCCCTTGGTCCAGTCATTAATTTCCTCAAGGGTGAGGGTGGCCAGCCGTGATTTTGTTTTACTCTTCTTCTCCTTCATCGGAGACCATATCTGCAGCGGCTTGAGCGGATTCTGTTTCACCGGAGAAAATTTGCGGGATCGGGACTTGGACGATTTCTCCTGCTTCTGCTTCCTTCCTAAATCCGGCCGCTTGGGGCTTGTCTCCGAGAGAGGTTTGAAGCAGGGTTGTTGGGCTGAAATAATTTGCATTTCAGTTCCATTGGGCCCAATCAAGGACTGAATGGGTACAGCAAGTTCTGGTTGTATGGGACCATTGGTTTGATGAACGGGCCCATGCGTAGTGGAGACTTCTCTACAGGCATGTGAGGAGGAGGCCTCTGTTGGACTAGACAGAGGCTTAGGCCCAGGCCCGTTGGGGAGAGAAGGGCCGGGACCCAGCAGGCCTTTAGCAGCCGTTGGAGAAGTCATGCCAATCTTCTCCTTGCCTTTTCTGATCTCGTCCTTTGTCCTACCAACAGTCACATTCTTACTCTCTGCTGTATTTGTCCGTTGGGAAGCCTGGGGAATATGAGAGAGTCGTCCAACCCCATCTCCACCTTCCTTTTTTGCCGAGTTCATCCTTCCATTTTTGCTCCCATTTCCCTGAATAAGTTTTCCTTCCTCTGAATCCTCCTTTCCTTTCCGGTTCTGATCCCGGATATTTCGTCTGCTTTTCTTGGTAACTATCATCCAGGGGCCGAAGCTTGCGCTGGGTTCCTCCACCGTCGTCGCGTCGGAGCTGTCCGCTCCCAACAATCCGGCTACCGTCAGAGCACCCGTTTGAGAAACTGAACGGATTTGAGGACAGGAGACTGATGAGTGACCCACTTTGCCACATTCGAAGCACACCTCCGGGAGATTTTCGTATTCAATCTTCTGCCATTCCCCATCGAGGTGAATTCGAGGAACCAGGGGTTTTTCCAGATCGATTTCTACAGCAAGGCGTGCGAATTTAGCTCTTTGTTGGTTCAGTGTGTGGTAATCAAGCTTGATTGTCCGACCAACCAGATTGCCAATAGAAATTAAGACCTCTTTGTGGTAGAAGTGGATCGGTAGGCCTGGCAGTTGGAGCCAAACGATCATCTTCTTCGGAAGGGGATCCGAAATCCTGAAGCTTGGAGTCCACTGATGAACAACCACATAGTGATCGAAGATTGTCCATGGTCCTTCGGTGAGGACTTTAAAATAATCCTGATCATTTTCCAGCTTCACCAGATAGCAAGCATGATCCAAATCCCTCACTTCCATATGTCCAGTTGGCCGCCATTGTGTCCGGAGCCGTGAACAGAGAGTGGTGAAGCCAACTTTACTCCCCAACAGCCGGACAACAAGAGTTCTCTGCCAAGGGGCACAGAGTCTATTCTTGAAGGTGGATGAGATTTTTAAAGCTGGTTCCCCATTGAAATCCCCTGGAATGAGGTCATGTTCTCCAACTGGGGTCCATTGGCTGCTTGCTGTACCTGGGTTGCCAGAGTTCTTCGTACCGGAAACTGCTGCTGCGTAGGAAGGACCTCCGAGACTCGTCGCCCCGGGAGAGATCTTGAGCGTATTCACAAGCGAGGAGGTCAACGTAACCTCCGTTTCCATATTCTTTGATTGATCCGAGACTTGATCCGAGCCTTGCTTAAACGTTGAAGTCAAGTCCACCGCCATTTCCGAGGGAGAGGAGACCGTTTGCAGGACTGGATTGGATGGCACAAGGGTCGGTGAAGACATCAGCTGGGGAAAATCCGGTGGCCGTCCCGGTGGGGCGGTCGCCGGCGTCGGAGTTTGTTGTCGGGTGGGATCGTTACAGAGCATTTTCAGAGCATTTCTATGAGTGATTGATGACTCAGTGCGAGCGGGGCGGTGGCAGCCTATAAACCTGACCAATACAGGGCCTCGCTTGTCACACCTCTTTTTTGCAGATGATCTGATTTTATTCAGCGAAGCCAATGCCGACCAGGTGCAGGAGATCAGAAGTTACTTCGACATGTTTGGGGCTTCCTCGGGCCAGCAAGTCAGTAGACCCAAATCTAGGGTCTTCTTCTCGGCCAATGTGACCGCCGACCACCGTCGTAGCCTTTGTGAAGACCTGGGAATCCAGTAAACACCAAATTTAGGCCGCTACCTGGGGGGCCCAGTGATTCATGATCGAGTAGCCAAATCAACTTTCACGGAGCTGATCGACCGGATCGACACCCGCCTGGCAGGGTGGTCAGCTTCGTCGATGTCGATGGCGGCGCGAATCACGTTAGCTCAGTCGGTCCTAATGGCTCTCCCCTCCTATACGATGCAAACGACCTTTCTTCTGGCAAGTGTCAGGGATTATATTGATAAGAAGATCCGTGCTTTCGTCTGGGGGAGCTCGGATCAGGGACGTAAAATCCACTTCATGGACTGGGATACTATCTGCAGACCGAAAGAGGAGGGTGGCCTGGGTCTAAGAGGAGCGACGAGAATTAATGAGGCCTACATGCTCAAGATCCTGTGGAGACTTCTTACGAAGCCAAATGATCTGTGGGCGCGAGTAATCCAGGCAAAGTATTGCCGCCTGACAGAGGAAGGGATGCATTTCAAAACCTCGGGCCGGCTCTCTAACCTCTGGCGTGGTGTTCTGCGCGTCAGACACCTGATCGAGGATGCCACGGCGTGGAACTTAAGGAATGGGCAGGTGGCCAAATTCTGGAGCGACCGGTGGCTCGATGACACGACAGCCCTCATTGATAGTGCCCCGAATCTCCCTCAAGGGATGGAAGGGATGACTGTTTCTGAGTTTGTGTTGAATGGTGAGTGGAATGTTGATTTTTTACGTGCTTTCTTACCAGAGGAGGTTGTTTCGCAGGTACTCTTACACCCGGTGCCGCAGGAGGACGAACCTGACGTCCGAGTCTGGCGTCTATCTCAAAATGGAGCTTTCTCTTTTCGCACAGCCTACGAGCTCACGGACAGAAGGGAGTGCCCAACCTGAACCAACCAATCTGGAGAACCATTTGGAAGACTCCGACAATGCAGCGGATCCAGACCTTTCTCTGGCTGCTCAATCACGACCGGCTACTGACGAATGCAGAGAGAGGGAGAAGACACCTGACTACTGATGTGAGTTGCAAGATATGCGGCGAGGGACCTGAAACCACCATGCACGTTGTTCGTGATTGTCCCTTTGCTAGATCCACCTGGGCGGGCCTGCTTGAAGATGAACCGGACGCCTCTTTCTTCGAACCTGATACTCACAGATGGTCTATGCACTATTTATCTGGGCGCAGTAATATCGTGGACAATACTCTGTTTGCAGGTACTTGTTGGCTTCTGTGGAAGAACAGGAATGATCACCTCTTCCAAGGCAAGTTGAAAACCCATGAGCAAATCCAGTTTATCTCAAAACAGCTCAGGCAACAGATCTCTACAGCTCTCGAGCAGGAGAATACCATATTTGGAGCTGGGGGACTCCGAGAGTGGCGGGAAATCCGATGGCATCCACCGCCAAGTGGCTGGGCCTGTATCAACGCCGATGGCTCAGTCACTCATTCTCCTGCGAGCACGACCTGTGGTGGCATCGTGAGGGGAGACGATGGACACTTTATCAGAGCATTCACAACGAACTTGGGAGGGGGTTCGATTACTCGCGCGGAGCTGACTGGGATTGCTTATGGGTTGAGGCTGGCTTGGAAGGAGGGGATCAGGAAGGTTGTTCTACAGACTGACTCCTGCACTGCGATTGCCCTGATTGGGAATGCTACTCCACAGCACCCACACTACACCTTGGTGGCCGAGATCCGCCGGTGGCTTGAGCAGGGGTGGCTCGTCAGACTCGAACATGTTTACAGGGAAGCTAACTACGTGGCTGACCACCTTGCTTCCGTTGGTCATTCGTTACCCATTGGGTTTCACGGGTTTCATGTCCCGAATAGTACTCTGAGTTATTGGCTGTATTTTGACATTGCGGGGAGTTTTACACCTCGTCTCATTAGCTTGCAATAAAGGTTAGGGCGCCCTTAGCGCCCTGTGTTTACCAAAAAAAAAACTGGGGAAGAGTTCTTACAAGGAGTATAGACTCTGCAAAAGAAACCCCAGCAAACAAATCCTTACAGAAGAGAAACAAAAGTAGGACATGAACGTTAAAAGAAACTCGCTATCCAATCCGGAAGTAAAGTGTTGTTGCAAGCCTTTTTTGCTTTGAAATCCGCCTCTTTGACCACACTTCTCGGTTGAAAAGCGACATTGCACCAGTCCGACTCATTTAAATGTCCTTGGATTGCCGCCATGGATGCTGCAAAACCAATAGGACATTCCTCAAGAGGCTTCCCGATAGCATCAACAACACACTTACAATTTGAAATTATCATAATTGCATTCTCTTCCTGTGCAGCCAATTTAACGACTTCAAGGATGGCGAAAGCCTCAGCAGTCGCAAGTGCTCTATAGTGAATTTTCTCAGCTCTCCCGTCATAGATCTTCCCATGAGCATCTTTTATAATAATGCCAATGCTCGCCTTCTGGATGTCGCTTCTGAAAGCTCCATCACACATGATTACCTTGACGTAATTCTTTGGCAGAGGGCCAGAGTTTTAATGATACTCTCCTAGCTGAGAAGGATGGACAGAATTTCCAGGCTCCCTTCTAGAGCTCCATTCTTCATACTAGCTTGTTGTCCGACCGTTGGTCGGAATGTCATTTGAACACAATGTATTTACGATGTGTATTTAATTTTTTAAAATTAATTGAAATGTTGAATTTCTTATGACATCAAGGTGACATCAAAATTATTTTTTCATTTTCGAAATTCTTATAACTTTTCATAAATGGTGAACATTGTAATCTTAATGGTTATAACCAAAGTTGTCAAACCGGTTTAAGTCGTTGAGTCGGTCAAGCCAGTGGCACTTGTGAATAACTATTCATAACTTGTCTATTTAATGATGTAGTTACTTAGTTCCCTATAGTTGAAAAGAAAATTGACATAACAAAAAAAGAGTTTGTCTGAGAAAAAGCGTAGGATAAATAAGAAACCCATGATGATAATCTTTAGTCAATCTTTATTTCCTTTGCTTGAGAAACAATACATATATAGCAATATCTAAACCCATGATGATAACCTTAAAGTATTCTGCACAATACAATAAAAAAATTAGTAAGAAAATAACATTTTCCACCCATACTTTATGCAATTAAAAAATTAATTATCAACTAAGATACTCTAAATTTAGTTGAAGGACAATCTTATTCACTCAACAATAAATAAATAAAAACATATCTTGTGGTACCTACCTTGCTAATGCACATGACCCCGTCAACGCGTCCATGAAAACTTCAACCCGACTTCCATGATTGGTCTTGTACTGCGTTATCATTAAACTAAGTAACTATAAATGATACATCTAGTTAATTACCATATTGAAATAATCTATAAAATTGGTATTCATAAATTGTGTTCTTTTAAACTCACCCATTTTCCCAATCATGCCATATTATCAAGAAATTTAGGATTTAACGATTAACCAAACTAAAACTTTCAAAAACTGGCCACTTATAGTTTGCATAACAATATCGTTGCATTAATAGTTTAAAAAATCGATGTCAATTTAAGAATTCTACATCACATGTACACATTAAATATACAATATTCGAATCAGTGATATTTGGGTTGCAATACTAAAATTATTCTCCATTTATAAGAGGACATTGATGAAATTTACTATTAAACTCAAATTAAAATAATTAGAATATGAAAATTAAAATATCAAATAACAAAGAAAGTACTTTTGTGAGAGTTAGTGGGCAAGCTAACAATAGTGGAAATGTCATACAATTTGTAGATTTTATGTTTTCAGATTTTGTATTTAAAAAGATACAAAATATTTATTTAGTGTAACTACTAATGGTAACGGGGGAGAAGATGGGTAGAAAATAATTAATACTTATCTTTGATTTGTTCAGGCATTTAATACAAACTTTCCTCTATATTTAATACAAGCTTTCCTCTATGTTGAAATGTCTTACAAAAATTGACTATTGATAGACCATTGATTGCACGTATTTTCGTGTTTGAAGCCAATTTCATGCTAGATTGTGTGTTTATGTCATATTTCAGGGCTTGGCGTTGACGTTGAGGCGAAAAAACGAGTTTCGGGTCAAAAGGAGGACGTTTGAGTTGAAGGGTGTTGGAGGAGCAAAATACCCGGCCATGAGCAATAATACCCGGCCGGGTAAAAATTCCATGGAGGTCGTGGAAAATAATTTTTGGACGTTGAGAAACATAATGGGTCCCGGCCAGAGAGCAAAAAGACCTGATCGGGTATTCGTGACCTTGATCGGGTATTTAGGCTTTCACCGCTGCGCTGCGTTTCGAAATCTCCGGTCGGGCACGTGAAATACCCGACCGGGGATTATGCCCGGGGATCGCGAGCAGCTGGATTTTAAGGGAAAGAAGGCCAATTGTGAACGGTTCCGAGTTTTGGAGAAAGAAAGTGATACCTAGAGAGAAAGCGACGAACCAGAGTTTCCAAGCGCCTTAGATCGATCTTCATCATCAGTGGAGCCCGGACAACGCTTGGAGAAGTGCCGATGGACGACCAGAAGTAGAACCTCATTCTTCACAGCATGTTTTCTGCTTCTGAGCTAGAGTTTGCTTCTCTCTCCATGGAGTAACTTCCACATTCACCTGGGTATGAAGGACCCTAGATTTGTATGTTAGGTCTGATTGTATGAACCCAAGTATGAATCCATTGATTTGATTATATTCAATTGAGGTCAGATTTGTTGAATGACATGAATCCTGATCAAATTCCTGTTGTTTCTGCTTTGACCTAGAAAGAGAATATCTGCCTAGGTTGATAGAGCACACTTGATTGAAGGTAGTGAATTGACGACTTTAGTCGAGGAGTCGGTTCACTATCCTGTACCGGATTTACTTCGGTAGTGGAGGTTTGGTTCGTTAGGGCCTCAATCTGTTTACTCCAGTGGAGGTTAGGACTCAGGTTGAGAGGGTCTGGAGACCTTTAGTCGAGACTGCAGACTGTTTAAGAACCTCTCGCAGTATAACTATCTTTGAATTCGAACTTGGTAAATTACAATCTGGTTTAACTGCAGTCTAGGGGGAACCATATCCGGGTGACCTCTCTCAACTTGAAAACAACATTTTACTGCTATGCTTGTTTGTTTACTTGGACCTTCACTACACTTTCACTGCTAAATAATAAGAATTCACGGAGTAGTCATCACACTTAGGACCCGGGTTGACATTAAAACCCAAACCCGCTATACTACGCATTAGTAGGTGGTTGCACTTGACCATTTTCTAGTGTGATGGTAAAGGCGAGTCAACTACATAGTTGGAGGACTGGCCAGAGCCATGCCGCACTATCACTATGGAACTTGTTCTTTTTTTTTTTAATAATTCTTAATTATAAATCTCTAGGTTCATTTTTTTTGGAAAACGGAGCGCTAAGGGCGCTCCAACCTTTAACTATTAGGAATCAATCGAGGGGTCCGAACCCCGATAAAGTCATGATACAACCAATAAGCAAGAGTAGGAGAGGGGGCATCAATGGTATGAACCCCTGGCGGGAGACCATGACCCAAATTTGCCAAATAATTTGCAACGACGTTCCCTTCCCTGTACGTGTGAATAAGCTCTACATGCCACTCCAACTCCAAGAGTCTTCTAGCTTCAGTGATCAACACATAATGGGGATTACGAGAACCCGCCGAAGAAAGCAGTTGTAATGCCGCCTTAGAGTCTGTTTGAACCACTAGCTGTCGAACTCCTAGTGCCCAAGCTGCTTTCAAGCCTTGTACAATACTCGCTAGCTCTGCCTTCGTGATCGATCCCTCACCGAGATTCATTGAAAAGCCTCCCAAAAATTTGCCATCATCATGTCGGACCACCCCCTGCTGTTGCTTTACCCGCCACCACCGATCCATTCGAATTAAGGCAAGACCAGCCTTGTGCGGGAGGGTTCCAAACCACCATACTCCTAGTATAATCCCCATTTCCCTCGAACACCTTGGCTACCCATCCTGCAGCCTCCTGTATCTGCGACTGGAGCATGATAGAATTGCTACGTAGCCTGCTCGTGGCCTCTAGGTGCTTCTCAAATACATGGTCATTTCGATTCTTCCAAAGCATCCAACACATCACCGCAAACCTGGTAGGGTGGATCACCTTGATCTTACTCGATAAGTAGTGGAGAGCCCAACGCATCAAGTCAGCCTGGAAAGAGGTGGTGTCTGGTTCCGTCCCCAGAAGCTCAGGCCAGGCCTCCCTTGCATAAGAACAATCCCGGACGACATGAAGTGTAGACTCCCCTTTAGCACCACAAATCGGGCACACATCCGTGGTTGTAAGGTGCCGACGTCTCCTTTCTCCATTCGTGAGAAGCCGTCTATGCGCCACAAGCCAGAAAAATGTACGAATATGTTGGGTAGCCAGTATACGCCAAATTGCACGCCAAAGAGGATGCGTACCACCTGGTTGTTCCTCTTCTCCAGTCAAGGGGTAGGCTGTTTTGAGGGAGAAGCACCCATCTGGGCTAAACCTCCAAACTGGTACGTCATGATCATCTTCTTGGGGCACAGGGTGCAACTGAATCTGCATTACCACTTCAGGAGGTAAGAAAGCCTGGAGATATGTCAAATTCCACTCACCGTTGACCGAGAGCTAATTATCGAGACTTTGGATTATCCGGGCACATACTTCGTGAAATGGTTCATACATGTTTGTTGCCGGGGGCAACAAGATCAAGTTGGTAAGGATTTCAAAATTACCTTCATTTTTCTAGTCATTTTTATGATCATCAATTAGAGATTTAAATTCTAGAGGAGCCCCTTTACCATTCTATATAAATGCGCTATTGTTTTTTTACGGATATGGCAGAGGGGCGCATCCAAGACACCATGTCAGCCACAGTGAGAGACTGGGCTTCATGTGGGAGGGATTGAGCCAATTCCTCTAGGTTCATGTTCCCGCACTCATAGTCATACCATTGTTCATTCCAAATTTTATTATCTTTCACTAGAACAAAATCTCGCCATATCTTGCAATATCATTAATTTCAATTTATCTAAAAATTACCCAGTTCCAACATTGTTTGCACCCGTTTTCTCTGCTTTTGGCACAGTTTGACAAGTCCGTATTGCCTTTGTGCGGTGTTTCCGTATCCGATTGGTCAGGCGAGAGGCAGGAAGCGAAGACTATTCCTGGAAATTATACATGAACTCCTTGCCTTCACAAAACATATAAGAAATTACACCGAACAAGTTGGCCTTTTAACATCTTTCTCAAACACATTAAATGGATACATCAGGCATATTTGGGTTAGCCCCATTAAGTTCGTTCTACCAAAGGTGCCGCCTCTCTTCCTTTTAACGTCCTCCAGGACTTCTGTTCCATGATAGATAAGAGGGGTCTCCAAGCCGCCTGAAATTATCCAAAACACTGCTAGTCAGATACAAATGGCACACGGTTATGCCTACTCATGTCCTAGTAATGCACACATTCAGTTGTCTCACTTCATCACTTTCCTAGTTCATTTTCAAGGCCAAACGAGATAAAAACAAAAGGACAGACAGTAGGCTGTAGGCATACAGACGCCCAAAACGCCAATTAGATGAAAAAGACTCGATACACTATAACGGCAAGATTATCAGGTGCCTGTGTTTATAGAAAGAAGAAAATCCTTGGGCAATTCATAATTTCACAAGAAATATATGCAACTATAGGGAATGCACAAGATACCTACATAGCACAAGTCATATATGCAAATCATACCAGGGAATGCACTACCTACCTACATAACACTGAGTGATACATGGTAGAAGATCAGCAAAGCAGAAACCCAGTTAGTAAAAAAAAACAACATCACTGTGAAAGGATAGAATGCTCTGGGAACTACAAATCAACATCAAAGAGCTTACCTGGGTTTCACAAGATACACTATGATGAAACATACTGCCAAGAACAGGCATAACCCTCCAACTGTAAGGTAAGCAATGCCGAGAAAGTCATTCTTCCCCCCGAGCCAGCTTGTTGTTGAAAGCACAAGTCTCTTCTTGCCATTGAAACTGTAGGTATTGTAGTGGTTGCCCAATGTAACATTTATTGTATCACCTCTGTTGAGATCCACCTCTATCCTCCCATACAACTTTCTGAAAGTTGGTAGAGCTGCAGTTCTCATCCACACAATGAGATCCTCCTGCTCGCTAAGCTGTAAAAGTAATCCCAGTTCAAACAAGTCAAAACACTTACCAAACGTTTCTCTGTAGAGGCTTACAAGGATTAATTTTATTGGACGATAAGCATTCTGTATCCTATTTTTCTTTATAAGAGATAGTAGAGTTAATAGAGTGGTACAATAACAAATTAGTAACATCTTAGTAAGACTGGATTGAGCAAAGAAAACGTCTTCTTCGAGCAGGATGGCCCATAAAGAGCTCTAGCTCTGTCATATAGAACAATGAAATCAAAGGCTTACCGGTTTCGATTCGTTGAGACTCCCACCACCTTTGAGTCCTCCGCTCTGGAAATTCTTTGGGAAAACATTGTCACCAAACTTGTGGTCTCTGTCGCTCTTCCATGAAATGTCCTTCTTATTCACATTCAACGATTCATTTCCACGAGAGAAGCTATAGGTATCATTAAATAAACTCCAAGCTATAAGACCACATGGCACAATAGCTGTTCCATTAATCAGATCTTCAGGCTTACAATTACTTGTATCGTCCTGACTACTGTTACTTCTCAATTGCATATCGTTTCTGCTCTTCACATACCTGAAAGACAGAACTTTATTACCAATAACACCAAACTAGAAACAGAAAACATGTATACTTATAACAATCAACATATGAAAAGATAAGCACAAGTGGAAACAGGAGACAAAGGACTTCTGCTATGGCAAGTTAGCAACTATAACTAGTTTGCGTAATAACGGTATACTTTGCACTAAGATACTCTATTTACCAAATTCATGCAGGACACAACCTGTGTCCAGCAATGATGCAGGGATATCTGCTAGCAGCACATTCTGTTACCCTCACTAGTGTTGTTAACTTGTTATAGGAAAAGGATACCGTTTTCACAGTAGCGAGAAGAAGCATTTGTATTTCATAAAACGACCCAGTGTGATTCATTCCTAAGACATAGATCTTAAGCTCCGGTTAACACTTCTCCCCCTGCCTCTCTTCTCTTATCTTCCAAAGACAAGAACATGTTATCAGTACCTGCGGTGATTCTGGTAGAAGTTATCAAGCTCGTAGTAAATATAAATAGGTGCCTTCATACGCTTTGGAACCTGATTGAAGAAAAATCAAGCAGAATGAGGAGTTAAGAGTTTAGCAACAGGATAAACTGAAAGTACAAGTCAATCAGGAGGATATCTAGATCACGGGGGAGCTCCTAGAAATGCTTACTGTCAGGGTTCTGACGCATATTTTATTGGCAGAACTCTGGATATATGCAACCTTGTTAGTTCTGTTTTGAGCAGGAATACATGCGGTTTCATAGCGGTCAACGACCTCAACAACCTAATGTGAAGAAAGAAGATCCATTAGGAAGGAGAGCAGAGATCAAAGAGGTGGGCGGGGAAAAAGATTGAGTCATACATCTCTGGAAGCAAACAAGGAAGCAACTCCAATTGGAACGAAGATGACGCTGACCAGCAGGAAAGCGGAGATCACCCATCCTGGCGTGAGAATCGGCTTGCAAGCAGGAAGTTCCTGTTGTGTAAACTTAGAATCTGCAAGAAAGGAAAAGGGAAAGAAGCAAATCCATGTTAATTGTACAAGATGGTGGAGTAAGTAAAGTGCTCAAAGTTCTCTTGCGATCATCCGGTCTGAAAATTAGGACTAGAGGACTAGATCACGGGACTTGGTGCAGCTATACAAGGAAATAGACGAAGGGAAGTTGCTACAAAAGACATATACAAAATGGAAAGAACAGGAAGATCCAAGTCTGAGTTGAGCTGATTAACCGAGTTACTGTGCTGCCCACAATTAGGGGTGAAATGAAATCCAAGAAGAAGAACAGCAGCAACAACAACAAGAAGTAGCAGCAAGAATCGAGAAAGCAAAAAGTGAAGGAAGTTGGAAGGAGGCAGAGAGAGATGTAAGGGGGGAAATTACATTTAGGTCGCTTGGAATTGCGCCTGGGAGCAGCAGAATCGGCGGATCCATTGGCAGCAGCGGAACTGGAGGAAGGGGCGGCGTTGTCGTTGCTCATCAGACGGGGACGGCGGGGGAGCAGACCAAGTGTGGGGGGCCGCCGGCGGTGGAGATCACTAAGCGATTCTGTCTTTCTACACGTATTTGGGGGTGGGGGTTTGGGTGGAACTTCGAATAAGAAAGATGGACGAGCCGAAGGCGATGATGAATAAACGAGGGAAGGAAAGAAGGGGGGATTGGATTGTTCTATTATTGTTTACTAATTTTTTGGCCCGCACTTTGTCGCGGTAAGAAACTAATTTTATTTGTAATTTCTTTTACTCGTTTAATGTTTTAGTTGAAATCAAATAATTTAAAAATAGTTTGAATAAGATATCTTTTATATGCTTTACCTAGTATCTTAATTACTATAGAAGATTTACCGCACTTTGTCGCGGTAAGAAACTAATTTTATTTGTAATTTCTTTTACTCGTTTAATGTTTTAGTTGAAATCAAATAATTTAAAAATAGTTTGAATAAGATATCTTTTATATGCTTTACCTAGTATCTTAATTACTATAGAAGATTTACGTAATATGTTTTTTATTTAATACATAAAAAGTTAAATATCTCTTCATGAACCTTACGTAATAAATATAATTTACGTAAATATTATAGAATAGTGTTACGTAAATATTTTCTAATTTGTGAATGAATCGTAAAATCAAGTATCACATTTGATTAAACTATTATGCAAAAGTGATTTTACCTTATGCAAGTTTACGCAAATGATGAGATGGTGAAAATGCAGATAATAATAAAGGAATTTCAATTATGAAAAGTATCACATTAACTAAACTGTTATGTAAAAAATAATCGATGTCGCAAAGTCTTTATGTAATGCAAACCGATGAATGGTCAACGGTTTAGGTCATAATGCATGAATTTTCGTTCAAACTTATATTAAGGAAGTCTTGCATTATATGTTTGTTTAGTTGGGACATAAGACATTATTTTCTCTCCATAAGTTTTATGTTGTGTCTTAATCATTGCATTATATGTTTGTTTAGTTGGGACATAAGACATTATTTTCTCTCCATAAGCTTTATGTTGTGTCTTAATCATAACATAAACTTATGTAGTATGTTTTACTTAGTTGATACATAAAAAATAATTAAACTTTCCTAATATGTATAAAATATATTTTTCGTTTGTGTAATTTTTATTGAACGTTGTTACGTTAATACTCTGTAATGTGTGTTCTAATAATAAAATCAAATTAGGAAAAGAAACTAGTTTTATTGAATGATGTTACGTAAGTACTCCGTAATGTATGGTCTAATAATAAAATCAATTCGTGAAAAATTGTAATTTGATTATTTTGTTATGTAAAACCTAACTTACATTACGTATCTTGTTATGTAAATGACACGCTAAAACACAACACCTAACAATGGCCAAGTGTAACCAATGAAAGGGACTGCAGTATAGTGGCACAAGTAATAAATATCGAATCCACGGGTCTCTAGAGTTACTATTACTCAGCTTCAGTTCATTATCTAGCAAACTAGATTAAGGATTGATTTACTAAACTACTCTACTAACTACTCTACTAATTACAAGTTGGGAACTCACTTAGGTATGATTCCCCCTAGCTCCTCAATTAGGTCCAAGTTGCAATTACCTTTGGTTGATCTACTGTTGATTAAACTGCGGAAGATCCTAAATTAGCTTGGAATCTCTTAAGCTGACCAAGCCCTCTCAGACAGAATACCCGGCAGGTGACTAGCCTTCACCGGGATAGACTGCTAAGGCGATTCACACAGATCTCCACTACTGGAATGAGTTCCAGTACAAAGCAGTGAATTGATTGACTCTCGCACAACCAATTCACTACTATCAATCAAGGAAGCTCTCTTAACCTAATCAGATTCTAGCTATCATAGGTTAAAGCAGAAATCAAGAGAATTTGATCAAGATCCAATTGACTCAATAAATCATGCCTCAATCGATTATAATCAAACAGTATAGCATCCAAAACTTCATACAAGAAAGATCCTAACTCATGGAACTAGGGTTCCTCAAAACCTAAGTGAAGGGAAGTTACTCCATAGAGAAGAGAGAGACTGCAGAAATCTGATCTAGATCTTCAATCTCCATCTCCAAGCTTGATTCCCGAGCTCCAATGGTGAAGAAATCCTCCAAAATAGCTCAAAGAATGTTCCCAAGTCACTCTCTCTCTCTAGGGTTCGTCCCTTGGGTGTTTGGGATCCAAAACCCAGCTCTCCTCCCTTCCTTTCGCTGAAAATCGGGTTTTAAACAACAATTCCCGACTCGCACGGCCAGGGTGCACGGCCATGCACATCACCATTCTGGCCGTGCACCTCAAAACGCGCCGTTTCATTAAGTCGAACCTCAACCAACTCGCACGGCCAGGATTGCACCTTGCACGGCCGTGCGGATTTCACTTGTGCCCGTGCGTGCCCACGCACCAACCCGCACGGCCAAACTGGTCACTTGCACGGCCGTGCGTGGCCACGCACAATCCCGTGCGTGCCCACGCACAATCCCGCACGGCCAGAATTATATGTTGCACGGCCGTGCGCCTCCCTGGTCTGCCCGTGCAGCTTGCTCAGCCTCTGTTTAATGCTTCGTTTCTCCCTCGTCCGGACTCCGAATCAGTCGCCGTTTGATCCCAGACGCTCGTAGTCTCGTCCTCTTTCGTTTCATAACAAGCTTGCATGATTCTCTGTCCATAAAGTGAGGTAGAAATCCATTCTTCTTCAGGTCATGCCCGAGTGTCTTCTCCCAAATCGTCAATTGATCTCTGATTGACTTGAAACTTGCGCCTATGCTTCACTTTATGTGCTAGGACCTGAAATGTGACAAAGGAACACAACATAGCGTAAAATCGGTCAAAGACACGGTAATTCAAGCTCAAACAATCAAGAAACAAAAGGGGAAAACATGTGCAAATACCGAGTCATAAGTAAACCCTAACTTACTTTTCGAAAACTTTGTATAATACAAATTATTTTTCATAACTTGATTTTATTATTAGAGCAACGTAATGAGACCTTTGATATTCCTTCCTCAATTTACAAACAAATTATATAAGAATTGATTTGGACATTTGAGGAAGGAATCGACCCTCAATGCTTCATTGGCACACAGGAAATTGTATGGTCTGCTGCAGTGGAAAACATCCGGTGAACAGTAACCCCACACACATATATATATATAGTGAATTAGGAGGGTCCCTTTTATCGTACTGAATTAGGAGGCATTTAATTGTTTCGTTTTTGTCGTAACGAACAGTAATTTGGTTTTTGATTACTTGTGTTTTAATAGATTAATTAATGGAAAACATCCGGGTGAATAGTAACCCTCGCATATATATATATATATATATATATATATATATATATGCAGTGAATTAGGAGGGTTCCGTTTTTCCGTACGGTTTCGTTTTTGTCGTAAGGAACAATAATTTGGTTTTTAATTATTTGCGTTTTAATAGATTAATAATATTTTGTTCTCTGTCAAATTATATATACTACAATAAGTACATTACGACATGAAAATGCATAATTAATTTTAATTAATTAGGTTTTGAATTGGTGGCATGGTTGAACTTTGAAACTCGGTGGGATGGGTTAAGGGCTAAGTTCCTTGGATGATCAGAAATCAAATAGGGTGGCGGAAACAGGGAAGAACCCAAGAAGCAGAGGTCTAAATATTTGACTTTTCTCTCAATGTTGTTTCGCAGGGAGAGAAGTCAAAGGAAGACGCGTAGGTTTATACCTTTCTCTTCTTTTTTCGTTTATTTAGCCCGCCAGAGCCAGGTCGTGATTTATTTATTTACTCATCCTTAATGATTTTGTTTTGGTTTCAAATTCTTTGCTAATGAATCATGTTTTTTTTTAAAGCTAATGACCCATATTGATAACTAGGATGGTGATTCAATCGGTTGTTGTTTAATGGTCCGGTTTATATGAGAAGGAGAGTGTCAAACAAACATTGTACCTCCGATCCAATTTAGGGATGAAAATTGGTATGGTATTCAAGTATCAAATATTGAAATTACGAATAATAAGTAGTACTCTAAAATCAATTTCAGGGTTCGTTTGATTTTGTGATAGTTTGCTTGGGATAGTTACAATGTATTGTCCACAATGCAATTTTTTTTTTGAATTTTCTGCACAAAAATACATGCATTGTTTGTTTGATGTGACACAAACTATCACTCAAAATGAGTGATAGTTTGATCTCAAAATTTGAGTGAGATTGTTGGATTTTTATCTTCCAATTATGTCTCTGTCTTTTTATGTGTGTTGCTTTTTTATATCAAAACAAAAGATAAAAATGACATTTCACTCAAAAACCAATACAATTTATTTAAATACTACAACAACTATCATATAAACCAAACGATGTAAACTACAATACACCAGTTTTCTTATATACATATATACTATTATTCATACATTGCTAACAATACATCAATTTAATTATTACCAAAACCTAACGACCCATCAATCCGCAAAATAAATTCGGTATCCTGATCCCTAAATTTGTGTTTGTATATACCAAATACCAAATTAATTTCCTTCAAAATTCAAATTAAATATACAAACGCAAATACTAACTCCATAAACAATTCTCAAAATTAGTAAAAACAAACAATTGTGTGGTGCCAACTCGTGCAAAACAAATAAAAAAATATCAAGTATAATAATAACAAACTAGACAAATCTGGTGCCTAAAAAGCACATTAACAAGCTAATATCAAATAATACTTGAAAGTCTATTCCAATCTCAATTCCAAAAAATAGTATGTGTATTAAAAAGGCAAAATATACTTGTATAACCATAACTTTCACATTTGTGAAAAATATAGTCATAACTATCCGAAAACACAAAATAGCCAACAAAAAATTGGATGATCGTGTGACAAATCTAGCCATTTCCATTAGAAACTTTTATGGTGTTAAGAACTTCGTCAGTTAGTTTAACGTTAGGCTGACTACTGACTAGGATGCCAAATCATCGCACATGTCAACGACAACTCAACACACTTGCCACGTAAGTGCCATGTCATATTTTAATTTAAAATAAATTAGTTAACTAATTTAAAAATCCAAAAAATAAATAAAACAAAAAGAGGAGATGAAAAGGTGTCTCCTTCACTTCACCCTTAATCAGTGGCGGACCTAAGGCAAGGGAGGGTGTGTCGGACGACACACCCTCGCTCGAGAATTTTGTGAAGGACCTACATATTTTTTGTACAAATTTTTTTTATTTCGAGATAGCCGACACACCTTCAATAATTATAGCCGACACACCTTCATTATACTCGA